TAGGCTCCTCAAAAGCAGGACCTGAACCAGCCTGAGCAAGAGCGAGACCCCGTCTCTACTAAAAATAGAAAGAAATTAATCGGACAACTAAAAATATATAGAAAAAATTAGCCGGGCATGGTGGCACATGCCTGTAGTCCCAGCTACTTGGGAGGCTGAGGCAGAAGGATCGCTTGAGCCCAGGAGTTTGAGGTTGCTGTGAGCTAGGCTGACGCCATGGCACTCACTCTAGCCCGGGCAAAACAGTGAGACTCTGTCTCAAAAAAAAAAAAAAAAAGCAGGACCTGAGTCTCCTTATCATCCTATCCCTGAGCATCCAGGACAAGCACAAAGGTGCTAAATTAAAACCTGATGAATGAACCAACTTATATAACTTACATGTCCCTCCAACTCCCAGAGGGTTTTTGTAAAATCCTGCCATTCACCTGACCACACTTAAAAAAAAGTCTTTTAAGTAGCAAGGAGAACATACCCAATAAAATCGCCCCATGAAAACACATCGTAAAGGAAGACCCTGTGTCTCGTGTCTCACACAGTCCATAAAGCCATGAAAGTTGTCTGCAGTCCAAACAACTCTCTTCCTTAACTGAATGAATTCTGACATCTCATAAAACTGGAAGAAATTGGGCTATCATCCAAAAGAAAAAAAAAAAAATTTTCAAAAGTGACTGCCTTCCATTCCTAAGCTTTTGTCTTATTAATCTTTTTCAAATTCAATGTTTAGAGAGCATTCATTTTGACAAAATAAGCTTCCTTATAATATACACTTATCTCATTTTATCATAAAACCATTCAGCATTATCTCTATAGAGCAGTTTTTGATAAATATGTAGAATATAGTTTCTACCACCAAACAGCCTTGTCTATGCCAGTTGAAGATTCAAAAGGAAGAATGCTTACCCGCCGAATAATTGTCTGTTTTAGGACCCCAGTAACCAAAGCCTCAATCAAGTAATTCCCTATCCTTTCTCCTAAATCCCCAACATGTATCAAATACACATTTCAATAATTCAGGGGGCTTTCGTAAGTTAATTATAACAAAAAAGTTTGGTGGGGGGAAACAGCTAATTATTCTCCCTGTTTAACTAATATAAGCTATGGTTTTATGGAAAAGCAATGAAAACACTAGATAAGTATCTGTGGTGTGGATTAACAAAAATGCAAAAGGATATTGTGGTTTCTGTATCAACATTAATTAGTGCCCTACTCCAACATCTTCTTGCCTTTGTTTTAATTTAAATGTAAATTCAGGTGAATTTTATATTTTAGATCCTCTCTATTCTTACTGACAAATAAGATAAGAGGAACATATCAGCAGAGAATAGGTCTTCCCACATGCCAATTAACAGCATGATACTGCATAATTATTATGGAATAAAGATTAAGCAGGTAAAGCTAAAAAGCCCTAATGGAAACATATTCAGATAAGGCATAGAAGATCAGGGGGATATGAAAACAGACACACATCCTAACTAAAGCCTAGACTTCCTACGCTTCTCAGTGACTTTGATCCAATAAACATTTATTGAACACTGACTGTCTGACAGACAGTGCTAGGTACAGAGGACACAAGGAATAAGATACAACTGCAGTTCCACCTTTCAGGGAGTTGGTATGCTCTGGCCATAATGTTACCCTCAAGTTACATGTTTACAAAAAGTTAATTCTGTAACTGTCCAATATGAAGCTCCCAGCCACAAGCGTCTATTAAATTCGCACTAGCCACCTTTCAAATGCTCCATAGCTATACATGGCTAGTGGCTGCTGACCATACAAGGCATATAGACAAATATATATAAGGAGAGAGCATTTGCATCATCACAGAAAGTTCTACTGGACAGTGCTGCATAGACTCTGCTCAGATGCTAAACGACTGATCTCCGTCACTTACAGATCTTATGACACTAGGGAAAACATTTAGCCTGTGAATCTTTTTGCTTTGCCATAGACACAACAAAAGTGCTCATTGATAAAGAAATGGCTAAATAAATCATGGCCTAGACATACAGGGGAATGCTATGGAGCAGTTGCAAAAATCAAAGTAGAATGATACATGCCAGTACACAAAATCTCTTGAACCTAACACTGATGAGAATAAAGCAAGTTAAGAAATAGCCAGTGTAATGCCATTTGTGTAAAACACACTTTCATATTAAAATTTGCCACTGTTTTCTCTAGACCTATCTCCAAATATATACATATGTAGAAAAATATATCGACCAAATAGAGGAATGCAGTTACTACCAGCATAGTAGCCAAA